GCTCGCATACGCAAGTAGATCTAACATATGCACACACAAATGCTGTGCCACGAACAATGATTTGACTAACTATCCAAATGCCATCCTATTTTTACTCTATAGACCACACCGTTCCGTAACAGGGACATGTAGCATGAATGTTAATGATAAACTCGCGTAGTTGTAATACACTCCCCATCTGTATTGCCATCAATCATGGCCAACAACATATCGGTACTGCCTGGTTCATATCAAGAGTCTCGAGCTGAGCTAAGATTGCATTTCATACTACGCTCCTACTCGATCAAGTGCTATGAGCCACTGTGTGCGGACGTCACTGACCTGTAAGAAAACACTTTACCAATCTACAACTACATGTGCAGAACAAGGGAGATACTTCATAGTACATTTACACAAAGCAACATGGTAGAGCCTATAACTTGGATCAGCGGAAACAACATGACAATGCCACTCCTGATCTTCTTGTAGACATTCAAAAATCTTTCGATATATTAAGGCACTTTCTCGCTCATAGTGTGTCATTACCTATTGTGAATTCTTTGTTCTCTTCATCTTAAATTCTATTAGCTACAATTTTTTCGTCACTGCCATGAGGACATCCACACACAGCAACTTCGGGCATGGGCGTAATTCTTTAGCATATATGAAATTCTCTGCTGTTTGTGCTGTACAATTTGAGATACAACACGCAGCGTCCTCATAATGGAAAGCTTTAGTTAATTTAGTCATGTCACCTAGAACACTTGCGTTTCTGCTGATTACCATCAAAGTACAGGATTAGGGTCATAACCGCAACTTAACAACTGATAGGCGGTCACTAATGCCAACTGAGTATGTACTACCACTCCATAGTTACGCTCTACCAGTCTCAGATGACCTACGAGTGTGATACAACCAAACTGTGTCAATTACAAGAATCTATAAGTATGTGTTTATCAGTTAAGACACCAGCACTAGTACCCACTATAGTCAAGGAACTTGATTTCATCTTGGCACCTATCTATCTAGCTATGTGGTTGAATCATCTGACAACAATTCCCACAAGAGAGATGTGCGAGACAAGGAGTGTGAGACACAAGTGGAAGAAGGAGGCATGTCAAAGAGGAGTCAAGCCAAGAGAAAGGCAGAAGGATTGACAATCAGCTGCAAGTTGCATCTGTACACAATATCCTCTCCTCTTTATATCCTAAATCAATGTCAGACACTTAAAACGAGCGAGCCAAAGTAATTTACACAGTGTAGCGCATGAAGCTAGTTTCTCTATTGTCTTTTTACTGCTTTCTAAAAACCCATCGATAGTTTATTTCATTCACTCCACCAGTTTCGTGTCTCTCTGCAGAATTTATTCTATCTCAAATTTATGTGAAAAACACTCATGCTCTCTATATACCTAATGATGCTCCTATCTATCTTAAATGCGCGCTAAGCACCTTTCATGACCACAGAAATCAGCTTAACAATACCACTGATAACCTCACATTCTCCATATCGGCGAGTGCTCACTACCTTGCGCTCACGAACACTCATCTCAAACTCATCTAGAGTACAAATCGTAGCCAATAGTAAATGGTCATTCCCCCCGTAGTCAGCATATATGATGTGGATTCACCAACCATTTCTCCTACCTGGACGCATTTTGGTCTTGATATCTATTTCAGTGCCACAAGGCGCCGACAGAGGGACACACAAATATATATGACTGGTATCTATACTGATGTATAATGGCGAATTATATCACCTCGTTTATAAATACGCGTACACTCGCGCACAGCCTCAGGGAGAAGTCATCTCTTCCCCAGTTACATCTAATTAACAAACCACTAGTGCGAGAACGAAAATAGATGAATTATTACCACACTAGAAAGCGAGAGAGAGAATTGATACGAAGGATAATATGAGTTCGAACCCTGAGCGATCGAAGCGTGGCATGATTAACGTGAAGTGAGGTTTGCAGTATATTGAAAAGAAGACCTTGTGGGATGGTAGTATCAGTCGCACAGAACATAGAATGCTGGATATAGTAAGTCAATATACCAAGCAGGGATGATGACTCTCTGATAGTGAAGGTATAATAGCCTAAGTGTCTCTGCTTCATCAGCTTAGATGTGATGTCTATATATCTCTATCCACATTCTTCTGTATGCTGCGCTCTCTTCTTTCTGCTGTATATTCGCCCTCGAGTGCTTCTTCAATGCCTCGACGCCAATCGTATACTCACTCGCCATATGCACTGAATTTCTCACATCACCTCTACCGATCCCCTCTTGATCCTTTCTACCCCTGGCGGCGCTTTGGGCCCTAGGCGTCACCCATGCTATTATTCACGCGTGGCACCACTGACTAGGCGAAGAATCTCGACGCTGCAAACCACTATCATTTACTACCCACTACCTGATCAAACAACGTTTAAGAACCACATTTCCCCCAGGTTGCTCCCGAATTCTTACCTCAACCAACGTCCCCATGACTCTTGAACGGAACGCGGCCAGATGTTCTGCTCTCTGAAAAACAAAGAGCATGACATGCCGGGGAACCTAAGAATCAAGGCAAGACAAACACACACCAAGAAACGAAACCCCCCCCCCCCCCATCCTTTTTACCTCTCCTTCTCTTTCACTCTGCCACTTTCTATATGTGTAGGCCACTGTAAGGTGACTGTCCTGATAAAATACAGAGAGAGTGAGACAGACTCGACCGGTTCAGCTTAAAAAAAACGCTCTGTCTAGTGAGTGCCTGTGTCTGTGTGTGTCCACAAATGGTGTACCACAGCTGACGGATAAGGTGATTAAGAGTACACCTGGGAACCAGGAGAGTAAAAGGACACAAGGATAACACACACACACGCTCTTCCTCTCTTTCTCTCTCTCTCTCTCACACACACACACACACACACACACACAGACACACAGAGTGCCCTCCCATGAAAGTTTTCTGTATGGTTTTAAAAAACTAAAGGACAGAGGATTTGTCGTCCATGGTTGCAGCTGCCCTTCACAAACTAACAAAGTGACTCTCTAACTCTTCAAAGTGAAAAACTTCAGCATTTGTGCCAGATTCAATCAATATGTCCCCAAAACTAAAATAGTGCTGTTAATGCTTCCATACCAACAAACCACGAGATATCACTGTAAAATACACACATCACTTTTCAGCTATGTAGCCAGTGTTATGCACCATGGTCACCTGCTGACATTAAATTCAGGATATTTGACACAAACACACATGTGTGTCCGTTCACACATCTGTTCACATGTGTATGAAAATATTTTTATGTATCTACATGCAGTCATAAATACTCACACAGATGTATTACTGTATTACTGTATGCATAGATACAAAAAGGCAATTTACAGATCCTTCCAGGGATTATTATCATTTGTATTTTTCTCTTGCTTATATGTTCTTCTATAGAAATCCATTACACTTTCTGATCAGCACCATAAATAAAGTCACCTGCTAAGTCATGCAACACTGCCACCCCTCTCAAGTTACAGTTTGTTTTATAGTCTTTTTTTCTGTTGCAGTCTAATTATTTTAACATGTGTTCTCAGTGCCAATATAGCCATACATACATACAGTATACTGTAAGACGGCAGAGTAGGCGGGTTCACAGAAAAGCAGTGATTTATGTTTTTAACTCTATCCACTACATGAAATCAGTCAAGCTAGAGAAGGACAAAGTTAGGTTGAAAAACGGAATGATAAAGAAGATTACAGTGTCAGGGGTAAAACTAGACAGAGGGAGATTGGCAGAAAGTTTATAGTGTAGTGAAAGAAACTCACTCAGAAAGTTACAGAAAAAGACTCCAATATAAACAGCTGTTTATATTGGCGTTGTTGCCCCTTTTGAAGCTCTCCCAAATGAATACAGTTCAGTCTCTTGTGTCAAACTATGTGGGGGGAAAGTGACAGTGAGAGAGACAAAGATGCAGAGAAAAATATATTCCGCGCAATGATCAGTTAAACAAAACTGTCCTTCATCCGTCCATTCATCCATCCACCCACAAGGATTTTTGTACTTTCATTCACATCATTTGATGCCTTCTCTCCGTCCCCTTGTGTTTTGTCTTTCCGTCCTCTGTTGTTCTTATTTAAATGTCTGGCTAATTGTCTTTAAGTCTGCTACTGTGAGCAATTTTTCTTCAAAATGAAAACAGCTGAGCCCTTTCTGAAACATTCAGTGAAAGAAATGGCGGTGCATTCCATGCTGCTTTGTAATGCTGTCATTTATCACAGCATGTGGACCATTAGTGTGAATCATTTATTGTCTTTGGCCTGCTTGAGATCCCCGAACTCTGGCAAGTCTATATGGAATGAAAGCAAGGTTAAATATTGTGCATAGTGATTGAGGGGCAAGCATGCAACAAAGCTGCCTGTGTTTAGTGTGTGAAGCAGCTAAAGCACTTAATACCTTGATCAGCTGTGTGTGTGCGTGTACGTGTGCGTGCGCCTGTGTGCATGCGTACCCCAGTGTGAGCATTAGCTGAGTCTAAGAATATACAGCTAAGTGTTTTTCCTTGTTGTGTACATCTCTAAAGTGACAGGAGAGCGGGAGAAGGCAACATATGCATGGCTGACTTCAACCACAACTCCGTAATTACTGTGTGATTGTTGCCGTGGAAATGAGGTAATGAGGCTGGTTTACAATGACATGGCAGCATCTCCAAAATGGTCTCCCTAGCTGCTGAATCATAGGATGTCTTGCAAAATGGCCACCTCTGCTCTCTATTGAGACTCTTTCTCTTTTGATATAATTAGTGGCTTCGCTGCTGTGTGTTATGTAACAGTACAATGTCATTACTATGAAGAATACCTCAACAACTGTGTTTTAAAGACAGAAATAATGTTATCATACTTGACTTCTGTCTGAAAATCAAGCAAGCGGATGCATTTCCAAAACTGCCAAAAAAAAAAAAAAAAACTGTCACACGCTCTCTGGTTCATATTATAACCTCCTTTAGTGCAGTTATTCAGTTTCTTGTCTCTCTTTGTCTCCTCAGACCTGAAGAAGTCATTCGAACAGGAACCCTTGGGAAAGGAAGTATCTCTGGAGCAGGAAGTGCTGCTACAGTGTCGCCCTCCAGAGGGCATACCAGCTGCTGAGGTATGTGCAACATTATCGTTAACCTCCACCTGAGGTAAATACAAAGTAAGATGTGAGATGAGGGGAGAGGACTGCCGGAGCTGAACGAGGGAGTGACAGAGGAGACGCAATGGCAAAATAAAGACAACAGGAGATGTTAAAAAACAAAATATAAAAATAGAAATCATCAAGTGGAAATAACTTCAAAGTGCCACAGAAAATCTTGACACTCTCTGAAATTGCCTGGAACTGTGAATGACAGACAGCAGAACAGAGCAGTTTGGTGGGCGCATGCACGCTTTTACAGTCTGCAGTCAGTGGTTGAAGGTTGTGCTGAATGAAAATGTATCCTGACTCTTTTGTTAAATAGCCTTTTGTTTGTTTGTTTGTTTGTTTGTTTATTTTCTTTTAACTAAAAGCTGATCAGACGCAATATCTAAAAACTAAAATAATTTTGACCTAATTACTGTAGCAAATTTAAATTATGGAACCTTGATACAAGCAAGGCCAGTGTTAAATGGAAAACTAATTAAAGATTGGCATAAATTAATTTAATTTGTCTTATTTTTAAATATTTTCTGAGGTGTTTTCAGAAACATAAGTCATTGTTTTACACAGCACATCAACATTTGTATTGAATTGTCACAGGGTCCTGAATCCTGTTTTGACTGGCTGTTGCTTGAAGAGCTCTGCCGCACTGAGGCAACATTGATCGAAAGATACAAAGTTTAAACTTAGACTTAAATGTCCCCAGTGAGCCAATTTGAGTTGCAGCACAAGTTACATGAAGAAATTTCAGCGACTGCAGAGGGTTTAACCTACATTCCTATGTTATTTCCAATGCTCACTCTCCTACTGTACCTGAGCTTTGCTGAAAATAATGAGCATAATTAATGAAAGTAGATTTCCTGCTTCCCTTCAAAGGACTGAAAAATACTGTTATGTTCGTTTTCAATAGCAAACATACACATATTGTTGAAAACTGAACTGATGTGAATACAGTTGCAGGTAAAGAGGAAACAAAGAAGAGGTGATCTCAATTGGTTAACTTGACTTGAGGGGAAAATTACACTTGCACATATGACATAAGTATTACAGTGAGCACAGCAGTGGTTTTGCCATTTAAGCAGTAAGTTCAGCCTTGCCCAAGGTCAGAGATTGCTACCCATGCTAGTAATTTGAACAGGTGTGAATTTAAGTATGTACATGTGAATAAAAGTGTGGTAAACACATTCTCACACTACCACAACTCTATTCCCCTTGATGTACGATAATATTTTATGCCTCAAGTACATTGTCAGCACATTGACGTGTTATTCACTCATCAAACACGTTGCACAGTAAACATCCACTTTGGAAGAGCCACACATGTCACTTCCACTCCCCGAGGGCCTTAACTATTGTGAAGAATGTCATTTACAATTCAGATTGTTCTTTGCTGGTTTCATCTGGCTGCGTTCCCACCTGAATGGATAAAAAGACATAATTTCATTTAGTTGGTCACTGGGGAAGAGCAGCACCGCACTTGGAGAGAGGGCTGCGCTACCGGATAAGGAGTCTCTGAATCAGGTTTCGCTCCTCGGGGTTTGATAGTCGTTTTCAATTGCACCTAAGTACACAGCTCCCCTGAGAGAGAGGGGGGAGAGCGAAAGTGAAGGAGAGGCGGCGAGGGAGGCACTCAGACAGACCAGCATACAAAGTGAGGGAGAGTGCGTGTGGGGGAAATGGCAGTGACGAAGGTGGAGCAGATAGAGAATGAGACAGAAGGAGGAGTGGTAGGGAATAACAGTGATCTTGCTCTTTCACTTGTAGAAATCCCTAATTCTTCTTTTGAGGGAAGTAAAGCAAATAAATAGGTTGAATTGTGACATCAGTTCAACAGTAGGAGCTGCAGAGACTTAAACACACAAACATGGAGTCTCTTGAATTGCTCATTACTCCTCCTGCCTTATCTATTTTCTTACTGCATTTTATTGTGACACCTGTTTGAACACAGCACATTCACACACACAGGTATGCTCATAAACAAAATGTGCACGCGCGCACACACACACACACACACACTATAACACACAGACACTCAGAGCTATTTTTCCACTCTGTTCAATTTGCTACCTTTTCCATTCCTCTCTCCTGTCATAATGGGATCTCAGGGCAAATGGATTGGTCTGTCTGCCCTGTCTGCTGAAGCTGATTAGAGGGATTTAGGTTTAAAACCTGCTGATGACCTCAGGTTGTAGCCCTGAATATTTTTTTTATTTTATTTTTTTATCTCTTCTGACTTTCTATTCCTTTGTTCTTATCATGCCCATTCTCTATTTCATCGTTCCTCCTTGTTTTTCTAGCTCTTACATACACACACACACACACACACACACACGCACACACACACACACACACACACACACACACACACA